TAGAAGAAAATATGGATGAATTACGTTTGTAATCTTAGAGTGGAAAAAAACTTTGTTTTGACCTGAAACCCTAAAGCCCTAAAGGAAAATTTAATTAGATGATATAAAAATATTACAATTCCATATGGCAAAAAAAATCTCATCATAAGCAAAATTAAAAAACAACAAAAGGAAAACATATTTGCAAAATATATGACAAAAGATCAATTTCCAAAGCATTCCTACAAAAAAAAATCCATAATAGAACAGGTTGTTCTAAAAAAAAAGAAGTGATCAATAAACACATGATCCACATAAATTTACACTCACATTCCTAGATGAAGACAGACACCATTTTTTACCTCTCAGATAAAGATTTTAAAAAGATTGCTAATCCTAAGCTCTGGCAAGTGTGCAATGAAAGAACTGCCAGATATTGCCGGTGGCAGAATCAACTGGTAGTGTAGAGGATTTGTAGAGAGGGAGATTTTGTGAAAATTGAGTCTTGATGATGGTGATAAAAGCCACCACTTACCAAGTCCTCCCTCTGGGGGAAGATTGAGGTGTCTTTTATGACCTAGCCTCAGACGGCACACACCCTCATTTCCACAATACTCCATTGGTTACAGAATTATCCTGGTTTACAATACCTTGTTGGTTACACAACCCTATTCATTGTGACGGGACAAGACTAGGATGTGACACCAGGAGGCGAGGCTCATCAAGGGTCACCTTGGAGGCTAGCTGCCACAGTTTCTAATTTCAAAGGGGGAAATGTGGTTCCAAATACAATGTTAAACACAGTATCTCATAGAGGAGGAAACCGAGGCTTAGAGAGGTTTCAGTATTGTGCCTGTGGTCTCCTGACTAGTGTCAGAGCCAAAATTTGAACCGGGTTTGATTTGACTACACTCTTTATATTCGACCTCCTTACTAGTCTCTTCACTGCCACTTTTGCTCCCTTATAAAATCACCTGCCTGGATCTAAAAGGATGGAGTAAAATCCACACACCTCACCATGGTCCACCAGGCTTTGCATATTTGGCCCTGCGTGTCCTTCCACCCTCACCTGCTCCAATCCTCCCTTGGCCCACTGTGCTCTAGCCATGCTGGTCACCTTTCAGTTCCTCAGGACCTTTGCACCAGCTGTTCCCTCTGCCTGGAAAATTGTGCCCCCAGGTGTTCACCTATCTGTCAGCTTCCACCATCCCGGGATCAGGACATGTTGGCTTACTCCTGGGAGGGCCCTTCTTTAAACACTCACCTCAGAGCGCACCCTTGTCTCCACCCCCAGCCCATCTTTACCTCCAGCTCCCATCTGCACCCTGGTGCCTGTCTCCACCCTACCCCATGTCTACACCTCACTCTTTGCTGCTGGTATCCAATCAAGATCCAGGAAACCATGGTAGTGTAGTGGTTAAATGCTACAGCTCCTAACCAAAGGGTCCATAGTTCAAACCCACCAGGCACTCCTTGGAAACTATGGGGCAGTGCTACCCTGTCCTATAGGGTTACTATGAGTCAAAATTAACTTAATGGCAATGGGGTTGGGTTTTTTTTTTTAATCAAGATCCACACATTGCATTTAGTTGGTATTTCTCTTCAGTCTCCTAATTTAATACAGTCAAAGGTATAGCAGTGAGTTTTTTGACGAGTCCAGGACAATTGTGTTGTGAAAGTCTCTCATTCTGGATTTCTTGTCTGGCTGTTTCCTCATGATCAAATTCAGGGTAAGCATTTTTGGGGAGAGCATGGCATGGGGGGAAGGACATGACCCAGGTGCTGATGCGTTTCCCCTTCGCCTTTCTGGGCACATTAAATCAGGAGGCCCCACTTTGTGGGCTGCTGGATTTGATTGCTTGGTTGGGGGTGTCTGCTAGATCTCTCCATTGTACAGGTACATGTTCCCCTCTGTCATTAATAAGTAATTTGTGGGGGTAAATGGGTTTTTAAATGGTTTGAGATGCTTAAACGGCATCTGCTCTGGTCTCACTTAGATCCTGTTATTCCTAATAATAGCCAACTCCTGATTCCTGTGGTTAAGACCCTACTTGGGGAGCATGCTCATTTATACAGGAAGCTGTCTGGAGGGGCTTGCTGCTTAAGATGCTCCATAGATCATATGCCTTGCTAGTCATCTGTTTATAAAAGCACAACTGTTTACAGAACCTGGAGGTGACATTAGGTAGTGCTATCCCCATTAGCAGACAGGGGCAGGAGAGGGGACACATGAATGAGAGAATTAGTGGCCAAGAAACCAGGTCACCCAATTCCTTGTTGGGACCAGTGTTGTGGCCACTTTAAGGATCAAGAGACTGGTCCAGATGCACAAGGACACCGAAAGCAACCTGCCCAAGGTTACTCAGGAGTGGCAGCTCCTGCAGGGATAAGGATCTGGGAGATTTCTGCGGGCTTCAGCAGTGCAGCTAAGCAGCCAGATTTCTCCAGGGCTCCTAACTGCTTGCTGTGTGTTGTGTGGGGCTGGGTCTGTTTTATCTCAGGAATGGTAAATGAGTTCACATTTCATGCCTACAGAAAATCACTGCTCTGCCCTTCTGGGCGGTACTAGCTCTCTTTTATTAGCCAGAGAGGAGGTGGGTTATCTGGGTTCAATTCTACCTTTGAACTTCAGTTGGATTTGGCTTTATATTTCAAGCCCAGATGTCTACCACCACTGTGAAATAGTGATGCAGGCCAGGAGGAGCCAAAGGTCTCTAGAAATGTAGTGGAAAGAAATGGGACACCCTGGGCCTGGATGATCTCATTTTCAGAGTGAGGAAGGACAGTTCCCATGCTGGAAACGCCCACCTCACTTCCCCCACCCCCACCCAAGAACTGAAGAGTCGTGGCTACTCATTTGTTTTAAAAATCCTGATTGTGCATCAGCATGTGTGGACGTTCAGATAATGAAGTCTCAGGACTGTCCCGGTCCACTGAGGATGGGAAGTGAAGCTCTAATAGAGAAAGCTGGGAGAAGCAGTGGTTTGAAGACACATTTGATTTCAGGAATAAAGGTGCTAATGAGTCACGTGTTTAAACCCTGTTTTATAAGGAAAGTGTGAGTTTTATATTGATGGTAATTTCTTTAGCTTGTGGTGAAGGAAGTCTGTGTGGTTAATTTGCTGTGTTGTCATCGTTTTTTCTCATGGATGAATACTGAGCGCGCTGGTGTATTTCCAACTCTCACCTCTAGAGGGAGCCTTGTTTACCTCGGATTGTTCACAATGCCAAGCTTTCAGAGGAAGAAAGAAAAAGGCTTTTTACAGTAAAAAGTTGGAGGGTTAAAGGCAGTCTGTTTCAAAATTGCAAACAATCGCGGTGGCTGTCTCGTTTTCTCTTCTCTGCTGGTTCCACTGTGAATGAGTTGTAGCGTAGTGAAGTCAGCAGAAATTGCTTTCCTCTTCTCATGCGAGCAGAGGAACCAGGAGGTGGGATCGTTATTGTTTTTATTTTGGCCATCTCCCCACAGAATTCCACGAGGGTAGCCTCCCATCCCTGTTAGAGCATAAGCTTCTTCTGAGGCTGATCTGTCGTGACAGAGGGTGTGGGCTGGGGCGGAGGCATGTGCCCCCTTTTCCAGACTCATCTTCCCTGTAGGGGTCTAATTTGCTGTTTGGGGACAAGCGTGTTACGTTTCAGGCTGAATCTGAGGTCCAGGGTTCCCCACCCTGCGACGCCCCATCCCGTCCTCTCCTGCAACCCACGCGGACTATTGAAAACTGTCTGAAGGACGGCGTTCTGATCCTCGTGGGTCTTCCCCCTCCCCCGATGCTCTCTCCGCGGACAGTGCGCGCCGGGTCTGGGATAGAGCATCATTCCTGATATTAGCCCCTTACTGTACAACTGCGGCTTGCGCGCCGTAAGCAGCCGGCACACGGTGTGGTCTAGAGGAGCACAATGACCGGCGACCGGGGTGGGGGGAGGGGAGGGAGGTGGGAAGGGAGCCGGGAGCCGACAAGCGCTCGGGATCGCCGAAATGTTTGGGTCGAACAGGTGAGCGCAGCCCCGACGCTTCGGCGCCCGCCGCGGGGGAGGAGGGGAGCAAGGGAGGGTGTAAACTAAGTGGTGGGAAAGAGACAAAGGAAGAGTGAAGAGGCGAGACGATGCGGAATGGAGTGAGGGGGAGGGGAGCGGGCAGCGGGTGGGCAGCGCGCCGAGGAGCCGGAGCTTGAACTTGATCAAGAAAACGGGGGCCCTGAGGCGGGGAGGTGGGGGGGGAGCCGGCACAGAGCCGGCCACGTGCCTGGCTTTCCCAGCCCAGGGTGTCGCTCCGACCGCTCGGGGGCCGATCCCTCTGCCCCGGCAGCCCCGCCCAGTTAGGATCCGCACCCCGAGGAACCGGGAGAAGCGCTGGGGGCAAGAGCTGCCCAGAGGCCCGAGGGCGCCGAGAGTTCCTGATGGTGCCAGAGTCACTTTCTTTGGTCCAAGTCTCCCTCTCCTGGCCTGAACACAGAGGGCCCGCAGGGTGCCCCCCCTCGCCCCCGGACCTGAAGATCGCGGCCACCGCAAGCAAGAGCTGGGCACCGACCCCACCGCCTCCTTTCCTGGGCACAGCCCCCCGCAAGGCTCTGACTCGAAGCGCTTCCCCCTTAAGAGCGCTGTCCCCCCGGACCGCACGGCAGCGCGTCCTGCGCGCCCTCATCCCCCCTACCTGGCCCAGCGCCCCCTCCCTCCTTCTCCTCCCCTCCCCCTCTTTTCTCCTCTCTCTGGGCGCCTCCTTTCCCTCTCTCCCCCTCCCCCCGTGCCCACTCCTCCCT